TTTATAGGTCAAAGTAATTGCATGGCGCATCCATTTTACATTAAAACAATTAACGCCTCCCTCGAATAAACTACTTCTCTAAACCCTTCTCAACAACAAACGCCCTGGGGCATTTAATCGAATAATATTTGTACGTTAGATATACTGTGGACGTTAATGATAATAATAATAATAATAATAATAATAATAATAATAATAATAATAATAATAATAATAATAATAATAATAATAATAAATAATAATGATAATAATTTTAATAATGATAATATAATAATGATATATTATTATTATTATTATTATTATTATTATTATTATTATTATTAGTAAGCACCTGCGCTATCACAATAATGACAATTACAGATAAGACAATACAGTGGGGTTTTTTTATAATGTCGTTCTATGTAGGGCTATAGGCCTATATTATTCTGGAAGGAGTTGTTATTTTATATAAATATTTTGAGATAAAAATTCCATAAACAAACAAATTTTACTACAATTCTGCACTAGTAAAGTAGACTTATTAGGTCAAAGTAATTGCATAGATACCGTAACTGACAGAATAAGGACATCGCATAGAATTTAAACTGCAAAGCGTTTATGTATGTTGGCTATCGTTCAGACGTAATCAAAGTATGACGTTTGATTTGTTGTACCATGGTTGTACACACAATAAAAACACAGGTACGTCAAGTCATATGGAACGCCGCTGATGTATGACAGTACAGGAATTCTTTGTACTGTAAATATAAAATCCCTTTGGCCATCATCTCGTTCGTGTTATATAAACATTGTACAGTGCTTTAAGTGCAAATTAAGTTCGAGTATTATTTTCATGGGTTCAAGGTAGGTAAATAATTGTATAATACAATAACTATCTAATGCATTGTTGGTTGCTTGCTAAAGTCTTATGCATAAAACGTGTTAGGGGTGTGCGAAGTTGCTCAACTAGGCTAACTGCTAAAGACTAACCTGTAATATGATTTAAAATCGTTAATAATCAAAACAGAGATATTAACAACTTATACAGTATCTTTCATATAGACTGAGATGTCTAAAATAGCAATAATATTAGGCCCTATTGATAATAATATACCAGGTAATTAATAAAAACAATACATATCGATAATAATATTAATACAGTAGTAGTAGTAGTAGCAGTAGTAGTAGCAGTAGTAGTAGTAGTTGCAAGAGCGTAGCAGCAGTAGTAGTAGTAGTAGTAGTAGTAGTAGTAGTAGTAGTAGTAGTAGTAGTAGTAGTAGTAGTAGTAGTAGTAGTAGTAGTAGTAGTAGTAGTAGTAGTAGTAGTAGTGGTAGTGGTAGTGGAAGTAACAATTATTGTTGTGTCTTCTTAATAATGTAATAATAATAATAATAATAATAATAATAATAATAATAATAATAATAATAATAATAATAATAATAGCAACATCAATAGTAATATTAATTAATGACAAAAATTATGTCAGTGCTACAAGAATGATGATGCTGACGATGACGACGATGATAAAGATAATGACGACGATCATAAAGATGATGGTGATGATTATGATGCATGATTTATAATGAAGGTAATATTAATAGTGGGCCTATGTCACTTATATCCAACGCATCATATCAAGGTCTCACTCGCATTATTACTCCGATCCCTGGATCAAGCACCCATGGAATTCATAATCAGTACTTTGGATAATAATATATCCCATAAATGCTACTGCTAGATATCCATACTTCCAAAGTGCACACGTGGTTTATAAACAACCTTCAATGTATAATGCACATAGTTTTCAAAACTAACAAATTTAATTACAATACCTAAATCTGCATTCACACTGATCGGAAGCCACCGAACCGAACAGAAATCGAATCAGTATGTAAGAATAGGGACGCTGGCGTTCAAGGCATCGGAAACGCGGTCCCAATTTTGGTTCGAATCCGATGTGAATGAATTTTGATACACATTTTTGTTTGTAAATGTTCATAACACAATCATGGTACATGGGATTGTATGGAGATACGAAGTGTGCTTACCATTCCCCAATTTTTGAAGCCTGTTCTCATTTTATATAAATATGGTGACAATTTCTTGAGCATATCTTCAGAGATCGTACAGGCCGTCATTGTACAATAGCTACTGCTGCCTCCCAGATTTTCGTTAACAAATAAAACCATTGGAACTTGCAACAAACCGATTAATGCTCCTATAAAATAAGCGTAGGTTAATTAGATAGGCCTAGATACATAAATACACACACACAAAAGACTATATACTTACTAACAGGTTGTATATTATTCATACAGTACCAGGCCGGGACCAATGGACCAGGGCCCAATTGTCGAAGAGAGCCCCCTCCCGTCGGAGAGAAAAATATATGTAATTTTAACATCAGTGAACTCTAAAATCGCTTAAATAAGCCTTTGAGACTCTTAAATTGTCGTAGTTTCCAGGGGCTACACCCACTGGACCACTTCCGAGATATTTTAAGCGCTCCCGACTACGCCGACTTACGCTCTCAAAATCCTGGCGACACCCCTGTAAAGTACTTGGATCGCTCGTTCATTATGCTATAATAGTAAGCAATTTAGTAGAATTGGTATCATGCACTAGTGAAAATTAGTCATACGAAGGTTAGATTAATGCTTTAAAAAAATTCCTGAGGGCCTTGATTTTTCATACATAATATTGGATTTGAAGTAACGTTCTCGGGTTCTAATCAACCTTGTTTTACGAAAGTCATTTTTTTTAATCACCTCTTGTCAACAAATGACGATTGAGCGAGTGTCTGTCCTCTCTTTCTGTAGGCGTGTGTTGTGGTGCTAAATGTAAAAACACAGCCTAGAATTCATCGCGGTGCGCGATACATACTATACAAGTTAACCTTTTGCACACGAACCAAAAAAGATAGAACCGTACACTAATGAAACATTAATGCACAGTTGGGAATAGGAATATAACATCGGGAGTAACAGTGATGATGACACGATTGGAAAATTATTTAACTGAGGATTACACAAAAAAATAAATAAATAAATACAATTTAAAAATTCCCGAGGGCCTGCAAGCATAGGCCTATGTCATATATGTCAAAAAATAAAAAATTTCTTCAAGTGTTTGAGAGAATACAGTAATCACATTTTGGTCGGTTCAGAGAGGTAAATTCGTGTGATGATAGGCTAGGCCTAGACTAGGCCTTGGCCTACTGCTTACATTTAAATTCGTTCCTTGCGTCTTTGGAATACTGTAGGTCTAGATTGGCCTCAAATATTTATATTTAATGTTCATTTTCTTTAGTTTATTTTCACCATTGATTTAAGGAATTTTACCTTGTTTTACAAATATCATTTTTTTTTCAATTAGACCTACCACTTGTCGACAAACTACGATTTGGCCGCTGCTACCCTCTCTCTCTACTCTACCCTCTGTCGTAGTACTAGGTGTATAAAATCATATTTATAAGTCAATCGTGACGTCATCACTGCAACTCCCAGCGTTATTTGCCTTTCCCCCACTGTGCACTATTTTTTTTAGTGCACGAGGCTTGATCTTTTATAATAATAATAATAATAATAATAATAATAATAATAATAATAATAATAATAATAATAATAATATTGTAGTTTTATATAGCGCACATATCCATCTAATGTAAGATGCTCAGGGCGCTTGATGTGGACTAGGAACTCGATCGTGTGCGAAAGACCAATTCAACTTGTAAGATACCACACACTGCGATGATTTCTAGGCTAGTGTTTTTTTTAGGAAGTATACATTGGAGGGTGGTTTTTTGGTTGAAATTGGGTTTTACTAAAAAACTAAGTAAATATATTGAAAAATTGTAATTGTAGACAATTATGCTTAAAACCGTTCACATAATTCTTTCAGATGTTGGTTTCAGCATTGTTGACTTGAAATACCACATTTTATAACTACTTACATGTACGGTATATTATCTACATTATAATTACGCTTTCAACGCCTAAGATCAAAATGACAAAACCGAGGGCCACAATAAACGTCTGGGATTCGAAACCTACCGGTCTGAAAAAATGTAACAACATAGATCATCAATTTCTCGATTTCCCGAAGCGAATATCAAATCCATATTTAAAATTAATTGTGCAAAAAATAATGACTTTTACCGACGTTTTTCACTGGACCACATGTTGTTTAGGACGTTTACATACTAGAGGGTAAGCGAGCAAAATGAGCGCACTCTAGTAAATGAAAACCATCAATAAAATGTGTGTGTAATTTTGTTAACATTTGATTTGAATGACATAAAAATCTGTGAAAAGTCTCTTCCACCCACCTGCATAATAAGGTGCCCATGCTCTGGAGTTGAATATATTCCCGTTCTCTGACGTAAATGCCAACTCTGACCTCCACGGTATCGCAAAGTCAAGGATGCCAATGATAGGTATGAGTGCCAATCCGAAAGGGATAGCTAGGGTGAAGTACCTTCGATTGATTACACCATCGAACCTAGACAACAATGTATACAATCATAGTTAAAATAAACAAAACGCATTACATGACACCTTTAAAATAAAGTTGTATATAATAAGGAACTTTTTTTGAAGAGCTATGCTTAATACGATTATAACATCTTGTGCTCAGAAACCAAGGAAGTTCACACAAACACCTAAAAACAATTATCTAACTGCATTATTAGGCTATATCACGAATACGTTTAACCCCATTGACAGCATAACAAAACAAACTTATGTGGAAAATATAAGTCACTGGAAAAAAAATGAAGATACAGAGACCTAAAATTATATTAAATATTTTTTTTTTATTTTATTTGTTGGCAAAAAGCGCATGAAGTTGAAATATAAGATTTTGATTTATAACGGATATGAATTCAATAAATAAATAAATAAATAAATAAATAAATAAATAAATAAATAAATAAATAAATAAATAAATAAATAAATAAATAAATAAATAAATAAATAAATAAATAAATAAATAAATAAATAAATAAATAAATCAAGCAATCAATCGATCAAATTCTCAACAGTATTGAAGCCATCAATTATATTCATTCACACCTACAGTGCATTCTAATACGTATAGTTTAAAGAAAATGAAAAAGGTAAAGGAAGAAAAAGAAAGAAAGTAAAAGGGAAAGAAAGAAAAGAAAAAGAAAGAAAACGAAAATTTAAAAAAAGAAAAGAAATAAAATGGCAAAGAAAGAGAAGGGAAAGAAATTGTGAAAGTAAAAGTAAAGGAAAATATAATGTTAAAAAAGGAAGAGGAAAGGGAAAACATGAAAAGAGGTAGAAAAATGAAAAATGAAAGGAGGAAAAGAGGGTAGGGGAAGAAAAGGTAAAGAAAGAAATTACAGGAAAGTAAAGGAAAAGAGAGACAGGTCGTAAGTATGAAAGAAAATGAAGGAAAAGGGGAAAAAAGAAATGGAAAAAAGAGTAAAAGGTACGTAAGGTAAGGTAAGGTATATGGCTAAGGAAATAAATATTTAACAATTTTTTTTTAAGTAAATAAAATTCTGTATTTTCAAATTATTTATTTATTAACATTATATGTTTATTTTTATTGGTGTTGTTATTCATTATTGTTACTTATTATTTTTGTTAGGTGAAACTTTTAATAATTTTTCCCACTTTATATTACTTTACTTTATTTTGTATTTTACATTATGCGCTATATAAATTGACAATTATTATTATTATTATTAAAATTGCTACGCGCTAAAATATTAACCAATCGTATGATGGAGAGTTAATTTTAATCATGTACTGAAGGATGGATTGTATGAATGTGATTCTAATGGCGACTAGTATGTAGACAGCTAAAATAAATGGCGCAAATTAAACTTAAATTAGTCAATACCAATAAATATAATATGACTCCTGTAATTGTGATATATTGCGGTCAACAACCTGTTCGATACGCACTGCGTACTACTAAACGAGGAGGAACTAATTCCAATATTATACTCAGCATAGAATGTATGCAGACTTTCAAATACATACCTATAATACATAAGCACCTCGAATTAATAAACTATAAAACAGCATACATCATTGGGTAATTGTTGCGGATTTATATTTCATTTTGAAGTTTTCGATCTTATAATAAATATCATATGGCTCTTGTAGTATTTATATAGTGCGGTCAACAACCCATTCGATACGCACTGCATAATACTAAACGAGGAGGAACTACCGGTAATCCCAACATTATACACATCATAGAATGTATGCAGACATTCAAATACATACCTATAATAAATAAGCACCTTGAATTAATAAAATATAAAACAGCATACATCATTGGATAATTGTTGAGGATTTATATTTCATTTTTAGTTTGCGATCAACCGG